TAACTATATGAAGTACAGGTCACATTAATGAGACAGTTCAAGTAGAAATCATTATGTTATCAACTGTTGAAACCAAAACTGTTGGATCCTATATCAGAGAGAATTAAGCATAGCAGATGTTTCATATCAGAGCACAGCTTCAGAGGGTCTTAGTAAACAGAGGAGTCCACCTGCATATTTTAATTTATATTAAACATCCATAATAATTCTATTTGTATTATAATAATTTGCATTATAATTCTTTTTATTTGCAGGTAATCAAGAGAAATGTACAAAAAACCTAGAGTCTGAATTTTCAAAAGAATTCTGCATCCATCAGGAAATGCTCAGTAAATCAAGAAGACAGTGCAATCCTAACATTAACATTAATTACCTTACTTATCAGTCTCCATTGTTTTGCTTTGACTATTACAAATAAAATTAAAGACTTTTTTTCCCATTAACATGACTGCTCTACAAATTTAGTCCCATTTGAGGTATGATTATGCATGGTCATTAGGATTTCCTTACATTTGCTTTTATTATGATACCTTATCACCTTTTTTCTCTAGGTAAAGGATGCTAGAGATCTCTAGCTAATATATCTTACTTCAGTACAATCTCTCTTGTGCCTTGGCTTGAAAATGTTGTCTACCAATTTCTCCTAATGCATTAAGTGCTTTCTCATAATCAGCAAATGCCATGTCTAGCAGCAAATCATATATGTTTGCATTTCCATTCTGTCATTAATCACACTGCTGTGAAATACCCAGCTAAAGATTACCCATTCTTTCGCCTGGCTAAAAATCTTCTAGAGAACTGATTTATGAATCAGGTTTTTTTTGTTTTCTTAACACTTTATGACAAGGACAGAAGTATGAAATGGCTGTGGTCATTGAAATCTCAGTTGGATTTAGGAGTCTGGCAGACTGCAGAGAAGTTGTAGATTGATTGTTTTTCAGTGTGTGTCCATTAGCTGAATGGGTGCTCTTCTAGACACGCCTTATTGCAAATGAGAAAATCTCTTGTTTGTTTACTAATTCTCAGGCTTCTTAAGAAGGTAATTTTCACTGCCAGCAGAGTCACATATTTCAGAAAACTTCTGTACAAAATATCACAGAAATGTGCCTACTTGTGTAATTGTTGTGATGGTGTTGCTGATACCTAGTTCATTAGATGAGACAAACATTTGCTGAAAGCTTATATTTACTAATATGAAGACAGCTTTAAAATCCCATTTTTCTGACTTTTACCAGTGATTCCTGGGTACCTGGATTTAATAAGGACCTAAGGACAGGATGGGAGCACTTAAACTGACAGCTTCATTTCCTATAGTATTATGGGTCAAAGGAGTGAATAGAGAATATGTCTGACATAGAAGTCAACAGACCCTTCTGCTGTAGTGGGAAGAAGATCTTGGCAAAACCAGGAGGCTGTTAAACAGCAAACTCTACACTGACTGCAGTCTTCATGTGCAGGAATTAGTTTATCTTCTTGTTATCATTTGAGGATGTCCTTGACAGAGATGCTTCTTCAAAGAGAATGCAGCTCCTGAAAATCTGAGTCTGCATTATGAACACGATAGGGGTAGAAATCTTTCATAAAGGGCAAAACCAGGCATAATGAAAGAGAAAGTGAAGGGAGTAATCATTTAAAGGAGGTCAGGCACCAACTAAATGAAACTTATTACACTGCAGCAGACCCAGAGCCTGGTTCCTCCTGGTCAAGAAGGTCAAGGACTGCACTTCTTCCCAGAGGACAAAACCTCCAGGCAGATGTGGGTGTAGCTCAGTAACTATGCACATTTTTATCCTCCCCTCACTCCAACTGATTATCAGGAATGTGCAGAAACAAATGACTGACCCCAGCTCTCAGTAATGCCCAGGAATGATGTACTGAGCTGGGCTGAAGGGATGGGTTTGCATAACCCTCCATTCAGTAGGCATTTTCCACAAAAACCCAAATACCTTGCCATTGTGTACACTTCAACAAGTCAGTCCTCACTGAAAGCTTATGAAACAAAGAAGGTCACTACTACACATTTGAAGGTAAATACATTCTTGTTTAGACAGAGGATTATCATTTATAAGCATATCAGCTTTTTAAAATGAGGCACACAGTCAATAGCAATTCTATTTTTCAGGCAATTTCAGAAAGCATTAGTAATCTATGTTCAGAAAAAATACTATGATAGCTCAATGAGTAACAACACTATTTCCTTCTGATCTGAAGGGGAAAACAGGTTTCTCACAGAAACAAACCAAAGATTTTTTCTTCTTTTTTTTTTTTTCTTTTTTTAACTTTCTTTAAATAAAATAGAAAAGTCCTCACCTTACAAACTCTGCCAACCCGGGAAAGGATTGTCTTGTCAGACGTGCCACTATCCTGTGATATTTCTCGGAAAAAGAAGTAGATTTTGTCATCATCTGGGTTATAGGTGTCTGGGATGGGAAAAGTTGCAATGAATTTTGCTCCTAGAAGTTCCAGACAAAAAAACAAACAAAGAAAAAAAAGCTTTAAAAATCTGAAGAGCCTGAATACTTGCTACTAAGTTTCTGCTTCGGTATCTGCATTTATGTTGCACCTTCCAGTGAAATAAAAATAGCACTATATAGACATGTAGTGGCAAGTTTCTTACTACCTCTGAGTGAAAACCACCATAGATTGTGAAGTATTCATTCTTAGTATGATGTTTTTGTGTATATACCTTACTGACATTTCCATAAATATGCAACACTGGTTATCATTCTCTTTTTGAAAATAGGGTAACTCTCAGTACAAAATATTGCCTAAAAACCTGCCTTACGGCTCTTAACACCAAAATACTGCCTAATAACCTGCCTTACTGCTCTTAACACCAAAATACTGCCTAAAAATCTGCCTTACTGCTCTTAACACCAATACCAAGTTAGGTAAATTTACTGAAATCACATGGTAGAATTTAAATTGATATAGTTATACATTGAAGCAGTTATGAGTACAGAAATACACTACTGTTTTCTAGAGATAGATTGCAAAGGAATTAACGAACCTTTATTGACTGATGTATTAAAAATTCAGTATAAATGACAGCTTTAAATGTTTCCTACGTATCTGTGCTATAACAATCTTACTGACAGTATCTACCAAATCCAACACAGTGCCGTGCTGGGATTCCCAAGTTAGCACATGAAAATCCACAACTGACTGGTCAGCATTAAGGACACGATACCTTGTTATGTGAAAACAGATTAGCTGTATCAACATCATGGTTTGTTTGGGTTATTTAAAACTGCTTTTTGCAAGAAATGCTAAAGCATGCCTTGCCCTGACATGCTGAGCTGTTACATTACTTCTGGTCTCTTCCAAAGCAAGCCTAGGTGTCTCTGTCTGCATCTTATTGGTATGCTTATCAGGCCAAGGATTTAATACATGCCTTTCACTGTCTTCTTCAGCTCTCTCACCCATGATCTCCAGGCCTGCTCAGCAGTTGTGGTTTTTTGTTTTTGTTTTGGGTAGTTTGTTGGGGTTTTTTTCTTTAAATTTTGCACTAAAATCAGATATTAAACTAATTCCAGGGATCCCTGGCTGCAGCAGAGCGGGCAACAACCCTGCCTTGCACAAGTGAACCAGAATACTTGGGGAAGTGACTTTTAAGACGTTCCCTAATGTGCTACAATAGATGAGCTCTTCTGAGGGCACTTGGATCAATTATGTTTTTCTTTAAACAGAACTGGCTATACAAATAAGGTGCAAAGAGACCCTTGACTCTAAAATACATTCTTTCAGCAATAAAATACACAGTCTTTGCCCCCATAAGCAGGCAGGCTGCAGTAGAAAGCAGTAAGGAGGACGTTGTAAGATGGGAGAGCAAACAGAGCACGCTGTTGATATGTGGGGAATACTATTATCAGCTTTTAATGTATCTTCATGTCTTTGTCCTTTTTATAATGGCTGTTACTTTATATTAGCCTTGAAGAATTTTCACCATGAACTCTATAGTATACACAGGACAAAAAGAGGGTCCTTGATTCAAAAGCTCATTATCAAAAGCTGGAGACGAAATGGGATGTGGTTAAGTGCTAAATGTGCACCTTCATGACAGAAGAGAAAATTTATGGGTCAAAAGAGCCACAGTGCTGCTTCCACTTTAAACCTTTCTGACAATACAGAATGGTGTCAGCAGAAAAATTAAATGATGCAGGCATCAAGCTCCATAAATTTAAGTTAGGATTTCAAAATGAGCTTAAAGAAAATATTCAATTACCCCTCAGGGCCTGTAAGGCTACTTTGAAGATTAGATCTCTGAGCATGAATAAATACACAAATACACTTCCAGTACGGTTCCTTAAATATCTGGTTAGCTAAGCAAGCATTTAATAGGAAAACCTGTGAAATACTTCTATAACGTGCTTTTGAATTTCACATGGATTTTTTTTTATAATTCACATTCACAGAACAAAATTCTGAATATAAGTGGTATTTAAATTAAATTTCATTGCTTTACTTGGCAAGCCAAATGCAACAACAAATGTCTCAATAGCAATATCTGCAACAGATTTAGAAGAATCTCTAAAAAATTAAAGAAACGCAAACATTTATTGATTTTAAGTCACAATTGAAAACACTGAAGTTGAAATCCAAACAAAAATACACTGTAAAAGGTACAAAGACAGAGACTGAAAAAAAATTAATGAAAGAAATTATGATCTGAAAAGCACATTACATTCTGCAAGTGACATTGTTGTCTCATCTTTTGTAACTCATCCGTACAACATAGAAAAGTGTGTTTAAACCAACTGTGAATTAGGTTGTTGGATTCTTTACATGGGAAACAAATTATATGAGGATGATTTTAAACCACTGTTTTCCCATACTCACAGTTGTGCCCCCTAAAAACATTAATAGAAGGTTTCCACGTATTGCTTTCATGGCTAGATTGTATGTAACCAAAGAGGGGATCAAAAGCATCATGAGCTCTGGCAATAAAAATTACAATAAATTCAGGTACTGCTTATGCTTTTTGAATATGTTTTTGTGGCCTAGTGGGAAAAGCTGTTACACCTAATCCTTTACTGCTGGGTTTGTGGAGTGGTCATGTTTGCTATTGGGTACCTGTTGGCTATCACACCCTTCTAACACCAGCAGAAGTTTAAGACATTGCAACTGTGCATGCCTTAGTAAGACCTACACAGAAGTAAGACTCGTTAGGCTCAAAAAAAGAGGACAGAAAATGAGCAGCAAATCCCAGAACATGAAGAAATGGAAAAGCAACCCACAGCAGTGGGAGGCAGCACCTCTTTATATCGGGCTGCCAGAAGTATGTCGCATGATTAAATGCGAAGGACAGTGCTCACTTCATTTACCTTTCACCATCTAGAAGTCCAGCTCCTAACCTATGCTCATTCAGGTCTTCTTTCCAGGAGGGACACAAAGGAAGAAAGTGACAATGAATAATTCTATTTTCAGATAAATTCCTACAATAGGTGGGGTGAGTCACCCTCTGGAAGTGTCACCTCTCTCCGTAAATTACAGACAGAGACAAGTGAAACGACTGAGCCCAGACAGGACACTAACTTTTGCCTCTTATTGCTCAGTGAGCTGAATCCCAGCCAAATTTCACAGAATATAAAGAAGTCATTGCCTGCAAGTCTTTGCCCTGGCAAAGACGACTGAAGTGCAGTGAAAAAAAAAGGGGTGGAAAAGAAAGCAGTTGAGGGAAGTACTCATTCCAGCTATGGCTTTAGCTTCCTATACAGGGCAGGAGGAATGTGCAGCTGTTTAGTGCATGCCTGTGAGTGGGTCTCAGGAATCCCACCGTGGGATGCCCTCCTCTGCTCACTGGGGTAGAGCAGCACAGAGTCAGTTCCAGCGGGTGGCTTTGCCATCCAGAGCAGGGCCACCAGCCCCACGTGCCTCATGCCCAGCCATGGCCACGGGTGAGATACCTCCGGTCAGAGGCTGCAGATGTGCCTGATTCTTTAGCTCTGCAGGAGAAGTGCTGAAATCTGAGCAGAGGCAGCATCCCCTCTGTGATCAGTGCCACTGTGCGCAGGAGTATGAGCCTGTGTGAGCGTGAGTCATGGGAAAGATCAGCTGCCTTCCTCCTTTCCTCCTCTGTGGAGCTGCTGTTCAGTCGCTGAGATTACTGCATGTCTTAATTAGTCAAGATAGAGATGCCTTGCAAGGAACTGGAAGGTATCCTACGCATTTTTCCCTTATTCTTTGTCTTTCCCTCCCTTCCCTCAGGAAAGGATAATCCTGTTTCCAGAAACAGAATAAGGCTAAACTTTAAAAATATTAAGGTGCATTACAGCAAAACTTCCTCAGCCCTCTGGTAAAAAACAAGTAACTCATTTTATGCTTATCCTAAGTAAAACATGAGTCACGCCTGGAAATAATTTATTTCTAATTGTACAATTACTCCAGTATGTACAACTTTTCCTGGAGGTCCAACACATGCTTGGTAAATGGGTGGTAGATTTAGGGAAGAGGGGATTTAGATGGGATGAGAGTTTTAAACTAGAAATCAAGTAAATATTTTCTTTATACCAATATCGGCTGAAAGCACAATGGTATGTAATTGGTAATGTTACACAATAAACTAGAAATATACTGGCTACTCTATGGCTTATTGCCATAGGGTATGATCCCATCATTTAGAGCTGCATTGAAAATTTTCCCCAACCTTAAAAGGACTGTTTCAAAATATTCAAAGCACCTCATTTATATCTATGCCTCTTAGTATAACACTGCATGGATTGTGTATGTGAAGTCTTAGACAGAGCGTGGCTGTATTTTTTTATATGGCTGGAAACAAGGTAAACCTGAAGAATATATGGGGTCTTCAGTGTTTATATAGTGTGGGGTAATTTTCACGTCGCAGTCTAACACACTAAAGCTGTTTTTCAAATCCAGACGTATTCATATATTATTCTCCTTAGAAAACTTTCATAAATACAGATGCTTTAAGTGAAAACAGAATAAAACATGAATCAATCTAAAAGAAAGAAGAAAGGCAGACAGCCTTTCCCCCACCCAGCCTCCAAACTAAAATGCATAAATCGTTCTCAAACCTTTAGTTTATTCTGTGTTCTTGTACTTGCCTCAAACTGCTCATGAAGAAACATGAATAGCACAAAGAAATGTTTGGAAATGGATATTTAAGCTGTAACTTCTTTTGGGCTGGGAGGTGAACCCTGTAATGCTCATCAAGGTGGATCTATACTAACGATAACACCAGATGCTCCTCAGGACCAAACTGCAGTAAATCTTTCTTTTTTGGATATTATAGCATTCCTTAGGAAAGCAGCTACCCAAGTCATCTTTCCATGCTAAGTATCAGCAGGCTGCCAGTGATAAAACTGTATATTCAGTTACCTGGTGAATTACAGTTAGAGAACTGCCTGCTGGAAGCACCTATCCTGGTCTATATCACTTACAACCATTTCTGGTCTACACTGCACAAGGGATTTGTAGAAATGAGAGACAGGAGATAGGAAAGGTGGGACAAGAAAGGTTCTGAGCACAGAAGATGAAAGTGGGAAAGTCACCAGAGTCAGATGTGAGATTTTTCTATCTGCCTGAAGGACTGTTCCTATTTAAAAAGGTAAAAGGACTTTATATGGCTTCTCCTTTCCTCCTCATCTCATCGGAGAAATCCTGAGGTTATGGAGTGACACCTTAGAAACGTAAGGCAACAGCTTAGAAGAGAGAAGGGGGTGGAAAAAATAATAAAATAAAAAAGGAACATTTCCTTTTGTTGAGGTCTCAAAGAGTTAAGAGGCAAAATTATCCTTTTCAGAAGTTGTCTGCTGGGAAGACAACTTAACCCTGTGGTCAGCAGGCCCTGGCTTTACAATACACCCATAATAGTTACACAGGCATCCTGAATCAGGGCCAGTGTTGCCACATCTTTAAAGACCGTTGATGGCTAAAAGCGGGATGTTCTAATTGAGCAGGGTTAGCTTGTGAGTGAAGTTTTCCATGTTACTCTGTGTGTGGTTTAAGACTGGCTGGGTGTAAATGCATCCAGTTTTTTAGAGGGTTTACTAGCTCAGAATGTTTTTAACGGGCAAGAAAAAGCAGTGTTTTGCTTGGGAAGCTATTTTAAGGTGCCCTTAGTGGTTTTAAAATGATCCTCACAGCAACAAAGGGCATTTTTCCCCCTCAAAAAATAAAAAAGGAAAAGACAAGGGAAAAAAAAGGACCTCCTGCCTAAAAACGTGGAATTTCTAGTCTGTCATTTCCACATGCTGTAGGGAACAGCTTTCAGAAGTGATCGGAAAAAGGGTTTAGAAAAAAAATTATTCCAACAAGACTGAAAATAGAAGCATTTAAGTCATGATATTATTTCCAATTACCGGACTATATACAGATGTACAGATCAAAGACAGACAGAATGATTAGGTCGTATGCTCCTACTCTTTCTTTAATTAGCGTTTTCACTTCTGACTTTTCCCAAGTGCATTTTTGTTCCACTGAGCTTTTTTATAAAAAAAGCCTACGTAATCCAAAAATACCATGATACAGTATCTATATTTAAAGTTACTGGACATATATTTATATAAGAAACGAGCTATTAACTTCAGAGAGGCAGGGACAATGCAAATGACAACAGCATATGTTTGGGATCTTACCAGTAAGCCAGTAATGTTCAGAAATGTCAGTTCTGATGTAATGGTGGTCGTGAGAAGGGCCCAGAGAACGCGTTAGAGCAGTGTCTTTGCCAAGGAAATCAGAAGCTGTTCCAGCATAAAGATACTCATCTGCAAATGAAAAAGAAATAGGGTTTCTACAGTTGTGGGATAAACAAAATTAAAACTGTGTTTTGTTGGGTGAACAACACGTGTGTTTAATTGGCATATGAACTAATTTAATGATCTAAAGTATTACTGACATCTATTTTAATGGGATTTTGTGTTCTGTGGTGTCACTTATATTTAAATGAGGGTAATATTGGTAATTATATGCCTTAGAAGTAGAGGAGTCCAAGTCTAATTTTCACATCTTTTCAGCACTCAGAAAAGTAAATTCCCCAGGCTTTAATGGGTGCTGGGCTCTTAAAGGTATAAAGGTATATTCAGTCTGTGCATTCTGCCTTGTGAGCATTGACCATGGAACTGGGGGCCATGGAGAGGACATGACCATCTATCCATTCAAGATAGCTCTTGTGTCCAAGGCTTGCTGCAGCCCCAATGGCTTTGTTGCTTCTGGGCTTGAGCTAGTAAACATGATGGATACTTCACTTCAGGAACTTTGCAGCTTGGCCCATTCCTGTTGTAGGGATCTCAGTCCAACACTTCATTCACGAAGAGGAATTTAGGCACCATGGGAATTCTTCTCAACTATGTAATGTGTTAATAGTAGGGATATGGCTATAGACCCAAATCGTGATCATTTTAACATAGCGAGTCCCACAAAAATTAATGAAACATCTTGCTTGAATAAGGCAGACTGAATTTGTCTCACAAGGAACCTATATCTACAATACTACAGTGTGCTTGCTGCAACTGCAGTTACTATTTAGTCTTCTGCCAGTTTTGTGGACAATGCAAAACTTCACAACTTTAAGAATTGTACAATAATTTCTGTTTTCCTTCAGATCTCGGTAATTTTCTAAAAAGAAGCAAAGAAACACTATCACTGTCTGGTTTCTTTTTTTACTGCATCTTACATTTTTTTTTTTTTTCTTGCAAAATAACAAGATATCTTTAGTGTTTGGAGGAGGTCGTTTTTTGTTTAATGCCTTACAACAGTGAATCCCTGGGCTTCATAAAAAGAAAAAAGATTCAGGTTCATAAACAATAATCATATAAAAAGGTATATGATACATAAAGGTCCCTTTCCAGGAGTTCCTTTTCCAGGTTTTCCGATCCTCTGGGTGGAAAGATTTCACAGGATCTCTTAGAGAGAAGTCCTTTGTTGAGAGTGAATGCAGAACAAATACCATTCAACATAGATGTTTGTGTTTTCATTTGCAAAAGATGTAAATGCACTTAAAAATATGAGATCAAGAGGGAAAAAAAAATCAAACAAAAACACAACCCATGATTCACCTTAAGCACTTTATTCAGAAAGAAAGAAAAGATCAGCTTTCTTTTTACTTCATTATTATTGTTACTTATGCATTATGTCCATGACAGTATTGGAAAGCACATCTTTCAGACAGCATGTTGCCTTTGTAAAGAAACAATAGTGCATTCTGAAAGGCATTTATCATAATGAGGAATGGGCAGGGTAATTGGTGTTTGCTAACTGACAGGCACTCAGTGATCAATATATAACTGAAGGCCTAACAGAAATTCTCCCTCCTTGCTTAGGCTCTGCTGACAAGGCTTTTTCAGCACTTCTCTTGGCTTTTGGTATCTCTCATTCCAAATTCCAGTTATGTCCAGAACAGTTTTGGTGAGCAGTAATTTGTAACAGAAGATGGATGATGAGCAGGTGATTTTTCAGTTAAATAAGGTAGCTTTTCAAATTTATCTGTGGCATTTCATCGGGGCAAAATGTGTGCAGAATTCAGAGAGGTTATGTATTTTTACAAAGAATGAAAATTACTCAGTTGTGTTAACCTACATACAGGACTGAAAATATACTGAAATATTGTTCATTTCATATATGTATAACCGATTAGAAAGTGCTTTCTGAAGGGTAAAAATAATCTTTATCACTCTTTTGCAGATAAATAAAACTAGACAGAGAAAAGTGACATGCCAAAGGTTACTCCTCCATCAGTGGCACATGCAGGAAGTGAGCTCCCCTGAGGCCCAGGCCAGTATCATATCCGTGAGCTATACTGCTCTCCTAGTACTTTTGGAAATAAAGTAATTATCAAAAGACAGCCAAGAACTCACTCTCTGGTCAGGCCTGTAACTCTCTACAGTGCTCCTTGGATATTATTGAGAAGCACTTGACACCAAGCATAGGCACAGAAGGGATACAAGAATACTCTGACCATTAATTTTATCTAGCCCAAAGATTCTTACGTACTGAAGTTCATGTTTTCATTAGTCGAAAGACGGCAGCTTCTTCATTTCACAAGATTTAATAGAGCAGTCAAAGCACTAGAGTGCCACTGAAATTAGCCAACACTATAATAAATCACAGAGTTCTATTGCATTAAAAAAAAAAAAAAAAAAGGAGGAAAAAAAAAAAGTTAAAGTTTCCAGAATCCCATTTTGAAAATAGACTTCATGGTCATTAAACAGTAGTAGGAGTCCCTGAGAAGAATAAGCACTGGCTTTAATCTATTGTTTTTAATAAAGGAAGTCCTGCCCCATCTGTAGGGTCAGAATCACAAATCATCTATCTTATTATCTGAGAATAAAGGCTGAACATTAGTCATATTCTTTTTATAACACAGAGTGACCGATACTTCAAAGCATTGTCACCACTGCTCTTTGGCTATAAATGAAAACGTCATGGTGCTTCACTCTTATCTTGTATTCATACGCTTGACGGGCAAGTTAAATGAAAATTGTCTAAAGCTATGACCCAAACCATGACAAAAGTAGCTCTTACAGTGATCTGAAATCCGGAGGTCAAGCTGACATTCCTCGGCACCAAATGTCAGACCACACAGTGCTGCAATGCACACAGCAGGCAGATTGCACTATCTTCTTCCTAGGCTTCCAGCTTCAGAAGTGGCTACTCAAGTAATAGAAACCTCAAAAATGTATTTATGGAAATAGTGGATGTCAGCAGACTTCAAAGGGCAGAGCATACTGATAATTGCAGAAAGAGGCCCAGAAGCTCTTCAAACATTGTCTGTCCATGGGTTTTTTGGTTGTCTTCTTAAAGGAGAAATGACTGGGTGAGGGTGAAACCACCTCCCTGCTCAACTGACAGAGGCTTCGCAGCCACTCAAATGGCTCTGTTTGTGTTGCTGCATTTCCAGTTCTTTGGTGTCTGCAGGCTGAAGGCCTCTGAGAGCACAAACCAGAAACACACCACCAGAGGAGCTCCAGTGATGACATCTGCTGAGCCTCTGAACCTGGGCTCACATATGAAGCCATCGCACATCTGAGAGGAGCACCTGGCTCTGATCATTTCTTACCTGCCATCACTGAAGCAAACGGCTGCTGAGGATCGAAGGGGCATTTCAACCTGCCAGACTCCAAGTTCTGAGTATCCAGCCAGAATACCGCTTCCTGAGAACAAATACATATTCGTTATTCTGGTGTGGCTGCAGAGAGAAAATCTCACATATACGGACTGTTCTGCTAACATACAAAGCAAAGTTGCGTTAGATCCCATAGCTGTCATCTCAGCATTGATGTTTACAGTCTGTGCCTCTGTTTTACATCTGGATTTTTTTTTTTGCTCATTGTTTTAACATACCCTGTTCACTCTATAGTGAGACACAAATCTTAAGAAAATACAATTATTTCAGAAAAAGAGATGCATTGTTCATTTCAATTCAAATTAAAAGCTGGATTGTACTTAAAAGTCACTGGCTTCTATTTGGAAAAGTGCTGATAGACTGTGTTGCAACAGGAGACCCAGAAGGGATTCTGGCTGACTCTTAAATTTCTCCAGGGACTGCTGAATAATGTTCACAGCAGACACAGTTCATCCCCTTTTAAATGAAAGCAGCATATGCTCTCTCCTGTTATTTTTAACAAGGCTAGTGATACAAGAGATATCAGAATAGATCCTTCCTTGTAGTTCCAAATACAGTGTGATTAATTCCTTGGTCAAAGAACAAGGGTCAAGAGGAAGATAGAGAAAAGAAATTATTTTCAAACTATTCCTGATGTTTTCAGTGGGCAATCAACAACACAATTGTTGCAAGCATCAATTTGAAGTTTTATTATACTTTTGAATTGCCAGCAAAAGTGCTTTTACTTGTTCCTTTCATTATTTTCCTAAAAGCACGCTTAACCTGAAGCTCATAGTGAGCCCTTCTGAAGGCATATTGATTGCTCAGAGGAGTAAAGTGCAGTCTTTGCAGGTATAGAGGCTTGATTTTCAGAATTCTGCTGCTATTAGAGAAGGGAAATGATTGCCTAGAGAAGTGCTGTTAACATACCCTCCTACCTACAGTGATACTTAAAATACCACTGGTGTTCAAGAATCAAATCATTGTGAGTTTAATGTCTATTGTAGAGACATAACTTCTGAAGCTAGTTTAAAATAAAAAATCAAAACACCTCTATGATTTAAACAATTACTTTAAAAAGGGTGAAGTGATTTTAAATATTTGTTTCTATAGCTTTACCTTGCAAGAGGACTGAAGAGTACAAATGACAGTTAAGTATATCCAAAGATAGCCACATAGGATCAGACTTTACAACGCATTAATTCGATTTGTCCTTAATGTACATCAGATTATAAATGACCAAGCCTTTCTATTTCATGGACGTGCCTCCTAAACTCTCTAGGCTCAGAAGACTCAGAAGAGCCCAGGTTATTGAATAATTAAGCTCCTTAAGAAAAAAGAAAAATCAATTCCTATCTGTTAACACAAATTCGATTTCCTCCAGCAATCCTAGATGATACAAAGCTGAATTTAATCATCAAACAACACCCTTTTCATCTTCCCAAACCAATGGGATATAAGGTAAACCAAATTTTCAGACTACTGAAGTGGATCAGAGCACACCAAGGAAAAAACTAAATTTAAAATTATAGCATCCCATCCTCCTTTCTTCTAAGATGTGCAATCCCCAGCTGCTCAGAGGACCCTTGCTGTATCACAGGCAAAGAGGCTAACTGCAAGTCCAGCTCAAGGAACTGAGGGATTTATAGATCATCATGAAATATTTCATACTTCACCCAGACAAACTAACGGACACTACGAGTTACTCACACAGAATTAACCTCCTGCTTTCACTTCGAACAAAGCTTTCAAAGAAAAGAGCATCCCTTGGAGAGCTGTGGCTAACAGCACCAACCACGCCAAGCCTCTTCACCAGCCAAGAGAAGTTTTGGCAGTGAATTCATCAATAGCAAGACGAGAACTTTAATCCCCTTTAATTGTGTGATCCCGTAGGGGATTTGCACTGCTTCAAAAGCAGTGTCTGCTGTGGTTTTGAGTCACCTGATTCACACTGTTTTCCTCTCTGTTTTCACAGCACTGGCACTGGCCAGCAGGGCACTGGGCAGCAGGGCACTGGGCAGATCCACCAGCAGCTTTTAAAGGTCAGCAGAGCACCACCTGATTCCACAGCCTTCGTGAGGCTATCTCAGACCCTGGCATTCCCAGGCATCCCACAGCTTCCTGTAGAGGTTGCTCATTACCAAACATCCATTATCCATTCTTATAATCCAGAGATAGGGAAAAAAAATAATAATTAAAAAAAAAAGGGGCTGTGGCAGTGACAGAATGGATGGGAGGGAGAAAAAAGAGACCAAAATAATGTATCTGCAATAGAAGTGCTTTGTTTTACCACATAGGACTCCTGGCTTCATTTCCTACAATGAGGAGACATTTTCAGCTGCCTGTCAAATTCACGTCACTGGGCTGTCTTCAGCACCCTCCTGCCTTGCCACATTTAGATGGAGAAGTGCAAGGACAATGGCTGTAGGTGTTTGGGGTCCAAGAAGGAAAGGGAAAACAGACCATTCAAAGCTGTTAATTCAGTAGGAGGCTGTAGAAGAGGCACTTCATGAGTAGTGCTGAACACTGTCCAACCTGCCACTGCAGCTGAGCAACCAGGAGGAATGCAGGAGAGGCAGGACTGGGAGACAGTGAGGGGATTAGGAAATACAATACCGGGATTCTTCTTCCATTTCCCCTCATAAGGTAATTTGTCACATCTAATTGAGACAGACCCCTTGTCTAGACTGGCTGCCAGACTGAATAATCAGACCAATTCCATAATTTCATAATGTTTGATGAAAACAGCCTTCGCAAATGAAGTAGTTAAAGGTTCGATGGTAGAGTGAATAAGGCATCCTGTTAATGATCTGGAGGCAAACCAGAGCCTTGCTTATACTCTTGCTGAGAGCTGTTCTGTTCAATTCAGCTGTGTATTTGATCATTCAGGCTAAGGAATCAGCATGATACAAGGGATCTAAAATTTCCGTTGCTTCAACTGGAATATTTAAAGTAGTGAAGAAAAAGAAGCTTACAAAATTATTTCATTGCAAGCCCAATTATACAGCATATACCAAACAATACCAGGACCATTAATGGTTTATTAGGACAGAACACTACTGTGCATATTTAAGGCAACTTCAGCTTTCTGTAACATATGCAGGCCCTCTGGGCTGGTCAATTATGTAGAATATAGTGATGGGTCTCAGCCTGGGCAAGCGTTAATGCTTCTTCTCCTCCATCTTTATTTCCTGTGAACACATGATTCTGTATGTCGGAATAACTCAAATATGTACGTATTTCAGGTTATCGCATTTAATAATACAACATTAGACCTCATTTCTTATATACTAAAATTTCACCAACTCCCAAACAAGAGAGGAAGCTCTTTCTACATCAGCACAGGAAGCCTGCAATGCAGGCAAGCAGCCAGACAGGTCACATCTCAATACTGTCTGAGAACAGAGCCAGTGTTATAAATATAGCCAAGGTGTTACACATACAGGAGTTAAAAAGAGACTTGTGTACTAAGTGGCTGCTTGACACAACACCAAAATTCTTCAGTTGTGGGGGTTAGGTCTGAAACATTTGCCACTTAGGACAGAGATTTCTTTGTCACCAGCAAATGAAGACCAATCAGCTGCTAACGTCAGTTCAGGAGTATGCTACTTGTGATGGAGGATGCCCAACATCTACTTAGCAACAGGGCTGCAAACCATCTGCAAAGTGCTGAGATGTCGTCCCTGGGCACAGGCTTGGAGGCTATTTACAAACTGCATATTACTCTCATGCACAAGGAATAGGAAACCATCTCTGTGGACCAAGGGTATATGGACATTTAAAGATAGAACTACAAGTGTCATCTTGAACTCTGAATACATGTGTATGTACATAAGTGGAAAGTATGTGTGGAAATGACTTACTAGGAATAAAGACATCTGGGTTAAATGTTCTTTTCACTTAGTTAATCATAGGAAAGTGTCATTCAGAAGAACTTTGTGTATTAAGCCTTACTGAGGAAAGTGCTTTGTTCAAAAGAGATACGCGCGTATCAAATGTGAGAACAAGAGTTCCCATCTGACCTGAAAAATCCACCATTTATCCTGTTATTTATGCAAGCTGCTGTCAGTTCATTTTTTACACACTCGCATAGTATTTTCCAATCTATGATGAATGCTAAACAAGACAAGGGTTATTCCTTGAAATGTCAAGAGCAGTGAGGAAATTAAATTACCTCTTTGTGAGTTCCAAGTTCAATGTATCCACAGAGAGGGTGAAATGCTCCTGTGCCACAAACATAAACATGGGTTCGGTTGTAGGGCTGAAGAACCCTGATAAAATTGGCACATTCTGTCTATTGGGAAAAGAAAGAGAAAGGTTAATTTTCACGTTGCTTCTTCTCTTTCACATTATACACTGTACTAGGTTATAGCCATAGTATCACTGTATTTAAACTCCAAACTACTGTAGCAGAGACTGTTTACTAAATCGTTCAAAGCTGTGACGTACAATTTTGCAGTGGCTATCTACTAAGCAGTTCATCAATCAGACTTGCAAGCCGAATTCTGCTATAATGCTTACATTGTATGCAATGTGAAGCAATGTGGTTACAGGCCAGTGTGGATAATATCTGCTCAGCCTGTGTTGTAACAAACAACCCCTGTCAGCATCTAAGCAGAGGTCGGAGAGCCACTGCATTAGTCTGGCTACCAATCCTCCTGTCTTTGCTCCTAATTCAGACTTCTGCACAAGCTTTAACACCAAAGATTACACGATAGAAATAATTGTGGTGAGCTGAAGGGCTTCAGAATACTTCCAAGGGTATGTTTTGTGTTTAAGTGAACTTTCTTTGCACCAACCACATCCTACTGGACACTTTTATTTAGGCATTTCTGAGTCCTACAGGATGCTTGGGTCAATCCTGGCTCTAGCTGGGCTTGGTCCTTTTTGGCAAGTAGCACAGTGGTCTGCTTCATGCTGCAAGGGTGCTACATGGGCTGGCTTGCTACAGCCTTCCCCAAAATTAAACAAAAGCATATACATATGAACAATGTACTTCGGAGGGAATACATGAGAGCCATTCATATGTTGAAGTTACCACCCTACACCTAAGTGAGAGGGAAGCTGCAGAGACAGTGTAGGAAGCAAAAGGGATATATTTATTATCTATGTCCAAAACAAACATTCCTCTCTCTGCTCCCTCTCCTTTTGTCTTAGCATAAAAATAGATCAGCACAAGTCCTCCATAGAGACCAGTACCAGAATTTTCCCAGTGCTCAGCAGAGGTGTTGTTTAGGTTTTGTCTGCTGTAAAGATAAGGGTAGCAATAAGTTAGGATAAAAAGCTGAAATTCCTCAGGCTGCAAGCTGAGAGAGTGTTTTGAGCTGGGGTCCACCTTGGTAACAGACAAGCTGGATAGATCCAACAAGATTTGTAGAGAGAAAAGAAATAAATTTTATTATGCAGCCAGGAAATGTTTACTTTTACAGTGGGCTCTAGACACATGATGTGATCTGTGGTATGTAAAAGAGATATGAAAGTTTTATTCTATATATGAATACATCTTAAATACACTTCCTAAAGAGACTTACTAATGGTTTGTGGTTCCAGAGAAAAGCTAATGAGTCTGAGATTTTGGTTTAACCTTAACTGCAGCTGTCTGCAAATTAAGTTAATTTGTACTCTGCTCTGCTACACTGTTTCATTAATGAATTATAATGAGGTTACCTTCAGGATATTCACAAGAAAAAAGCAGTTTGATGAGAAAGGAAGGATTTCAGGGGAGCATCGCCTGGGATATATTTCAGAGGAAAGTCCATGATCTCTCAACTGCATTTATTACATACAAGGATGGCTTAGCAAGACAGTTGCTTGCAATATTGAATATTTTTTCTTGAAACATTAATATTTATAGAAAAAAACAGAAGTGTAGCTATTTTTTTTAAATTAATTAAAACACCTAGTTCATTAGTGTACACACAGCTTACTAACCCATTTTGTGCATTTAGACACAAATACACAGATATAAGATGTTCTCAGCAGTAATACTTACATGGGCATCTTTCCCAGCTAATTTGCATAATTCTACCTTTTCTTTTGCTGCAGGCCAGTAAATCTGTAAGATAGTTAAAACGAGACAAAGATTATGAATAGTACAAATTGTCCTGTGAATGTAGTTTAAGTATTTCCTTGAATGAACAGAAAAAAACAAATTTATGCATGTTGAAGGAATTTTCATGTCTCAAAATCAATATGACTTCAAATACAGGGTTCCATTACAAAAAGTGAAGAGGCTTTAAATCAAAACCTCTGTTCTTCATTCATTTCCTCACTAGCTATATGTACTTTTTAAAAGCATTTGGTTGAGTTGGCTAGCACACCTTGTCATCATTATGAACCGTGTGTTTTTCTCAAAGATACCATGAGCCAAATCATCTTGAAATTAAACTGACGGCAAAACAAGGCAAGTTGCGTTTGAGATTAATCTGGTCCAGTAAACTTGGCAAAGTTATTACGAAGAAATACTTAGCTGTTACTGCCAATTTTCAAATGAAAAGTTTTGTACAGAAGACTGAAGATAGCTTACAGGAAATCTGTAGAACAAAAAGTACATTTGACTTAAATCAATAATGCACAATTTAAAAATGTCACCCATCAACATAACTGAGTTTATGGAGAAAATGACATAAGTTTAGAAGAGGATCATGTACCTTAGATAATTGGTAGCATATATTATAACTACTTCTCTTTGTTCTTTCATCTGCACTGCGAAATTCTATGAACTAGGTTTTGGTGTAGAGCCAGGTAACAAATTACTATCAATTACTGGAACCCCAATGATGTTAGTGAAGAAATATCAATGAAGAACAGCTCCAGTTCTGGCTCACTGATTTCAATTAAACAGTCAAAATTGGATATTATTAGTATATGTTTATTCTATTGAATACAACATAGAAGCTAATGTCTTCTAGAATCACCATGCTAAAAATGGATTTTTTTCCTTCTTATTTTGACAAGGAAAAGCTATAGGCATTTCTCATGACTAACAACAATAAATTACACAGATTTTTGACCAAATACTGGTTACTGCCTCAACTCCCAGGATCCAGAATGCAGATTACTAGTAGTCTGAGATGATCACACATCATAGAATCACAGAAAATCTTAAATAGTGAAATATATGGGAATAAAGAATTATTACTATAATACATACTAGAAAAAATCAAGATCAGGGAAGAATGCACAACTCAACCACATGCAGGAGGAGCTAACTGTTGCAATATTCCCTCTCTCTCACTCAGCTATTGGCACTTCGTAGCATGTGGCTTGCCACATTTGCAGGGTCAGTCCCATGTTGATAAGGAAAGCAAAAGAGTGCCCTGTGTCAAATAGCTTTATCACTGTCTCACATCTACAGTCAGCATTCCTCTCAATATGGAAACCGTCTTTTTATTTCATGAATTCTTCCACTTCTCTTCCCAGTGAAAATGGATATATTTGCTTTCTACAAGGAAATTAATTTCCTCTCAAGTGAATTTACAGTTACCTTTCTGATTAGGAGCTCTTATTACAGATAATGTATTTTAAGTTGCTCAAACCTTAACTCTTTACAGAAATATTTACTTAAAGTCAGAGATAAGGCAATATAACAACATCTCAGCACCAGAGCATAAATTTACTTTCCCAGAGCATTTTCTCAGTATGATGTCATGAGAGCATTCAGGTACAAAACCACAATTTGAAATCAGGTGTGCCAGTGTGTCTGGATTACCCAATGCACAATGCCAGAAAGTACAGAGGAAAGCATTGGGAACACTGCATCTAGAAGTAGCATCAGGGAACTCATCTGGTTTCTATCTGGGCAAAGTGGGATAAGTCTCACCTATAGCACTGACACTTGTAGTCTGATGCAAGTGCCACTGGGCTAAGAAGGAGAGCTGAGGCTGGTGAAAAAAGATAATGAAGAGGAACAACTGGAGAAATATAAGATCATAGATCTTACCAAAGTACATTTGGCTGAGAGATCTGATCTTCAGTTCTTTTGTATATAAACCTTATGGCCAGTTCTGCCCAAGATTCCTCTATGAGCAACAGAGAAGTCTAGAGGTCTTTGAGGGGTTTTGGAGATTTATAGCCAAAGTTTAGGTATGCAATTAGGCAGACAAGATATCCCTCTGCAGGCTTTTGAAAATGCCCAGGTCTCCTTGCCAGCTACACAGAAGAATAGTACCCTTGCTTTGGGAGGCCCAGTTACATTTGAAGAGATGTGCTTCCAGGCATACCACATTGATGGATTCAACTTTACCCTTAATAGTTCTACAGATTCCTTCATGGGAAACAGAGTCTGTCAAACAAGGCTAAGTTATACACACTTCCTTTTCTATGATAATTGATCACAGTTGATTATTTAAAAAAATATCAGTTGTTTTACTTTCTGGCTACTCAACAGCCTCAGTGTTTAACATTATACAAGGCCACATTAGACAATGAAAAGTGAAGCCAAGTGATCCAACTTTAAAATTGATTTGCAATTATATGTGGGGGACTTAAAGTGATATTTATTTGCTTTTCATATAAGAAATAAGAGGTTCCAAGAAACTGTCAGTTCCAAATTGTAATAGGTCAAGAAAACTACATAATAAATAATGAGCCACTATGCTGAGCAAGGAAGCATAAATTCAACTTTTTATTACATCGCATGCTGTGCAACAGTGCCACAGGTCTGGTTCCCTCAAACACAGCCACACAAGTAACTTTACACATTTAAAATAGTCTCACTGAACTTTCACATGCATAAGCTTATTTACTTACATCTGTATTGACCTTCCTGAGGGGGTGAAATAAAATCTTAGTATCATATTGTTGTATATATATTCAGATGAGTTATTTAGTTTCACAACATGCAAAAACTAAGACTAGATGCTCCCATATTTTCTTGCATAATCAAAATCTTTGAGATGGTGAATGGTTTGATGCTTTCAAATTGGTCAGGATTTTTGTCGTTTAGGGTTTTTTTTTCAGTTTACATGCTGAATTCACAATGGCACCATCCTATTTTACAGTCTTTTTCCTGAACTCCTCAAGAAGTAAAATCTCAAATAAAGGAAACAAGCAAATAAACAAACAAAACTCAAAACCTTCATCATAATCATGATGACAAGACCATTGACATGTAAAATTACAATAATTTCAGGTCACAAACAGCACAAATTATGTATATATTTCATGGTTGCATCTGTTCCTGAAACATCTGGAGAAATCTTTGAATAGGAGGTGGGGTCACTGAATTTAAGGCAAGTATGCAACTAATTGAAATACGTAAACTATATACTTAAATATGATTATTTTCTTCTCTTAATCTTCAGTTTATTTTCCTTGCAAAATATCCGTATCAAAATTCCAAAGGTCGGCAACTGTCATAATTTTATCTTCACAGCCCAATTAAAAAAAAACAAAGCAACCTTGCCATTACTTTTAAATCAGTCTACAAATATTTTCTTAAATTTAGCAACAGGAAAGAAATTAAAATATCCTAATAAATGCAAGTTAATAAATTCTCTGCTAGCAGAGTGAAAGAAAACCTCCCAGTAGTACAAAATTAATACGTAAGGATAGGACAGATAAGGTATCACTTTAAAGGGTAGCTGGAAATTGCTTTCTAATTAAAACAATACTTTAAAAACCACAAAGGTCCTTTTCAGATCACGAGCAGACTAATTTCTAGAAGTAACTTTTTTTTCCCTCCAAATATGGAAGGAAAAGGAAAACTAAATATTTTTTAAAATAACATTATGCACATACATAAATTGGTACACAGATACTATATATATTATTATATGTATCTATAAATAATAGCTGCACTCACTTGTAAGAGCTCCATTTCAGCTGCCATCTTTCATGACTTAATATTACCAGTTACAAGCGAGTATTTTCCTCATCTTTCTGTGCCTATTCTTCTCTATCCAACTTTGTTTCTAGGGTAACATTTAAAACCATAAATCCTTAGGAAAAGTGATGCTTCAAGAATAAAACAGTGAACTCTAATTCCAAAGAAACTGTTGTATGAAAGTACAGCTTTCCCAAAAATAATTTCTAATGAAGTTACTAAGTCTGAGATGATGCAGGACTTCACCAAAGGAGTGGAAAATACTATATATTGTCACAGTACTAAAGAGGAGGAACACTACATATCTAAGTGAATTTCAGGCCTATTGGTCCTATTTCATCTGTTTGCAAAGCTTCAAAATAAATTTTTAGTTAGGGAATTAATAACAAGTTTCCTATGAAAATGCAGTATTGTACAAAAGACAATATAACTTGTGAAAGAGCTGTTATTCCACTCCAATATTGTATTATCTTTAGTAACACAGCTGAATTGCATACTACATTAATGTGGTAGAGCTTCTCTTCATCATGGCTCCTGCTAAGTATTTACCAAGTTGCCTCATGGAAACTGATTTTCTTAGCTGGCAAAACCAAGGAATATTACAAGAAAAAATGGTTTGATAAGAACTTGCAACAGAAAGTTACTCATGAAGGTGAGAAATACTGTCAGAGCTCATCCTATTTCATCTAACCTTCAGGAGCTTTGGCCAAAAGCCAGCACTCTGCAACAACATGTGCAGGTGACAAAAAGGTGGGAAGCATCAGTAATACAAATGAAGATTGGTAATATTATGTAGGAAGAATCAAAGTTTTCTGAAGACCAGAATTATAAACAGTCAGAGAAAATGGGTATAAACTGGTCATAAATAAATATAGATTGTAGTTTTTAACAATAAATATGAAACATCAGAGTAACAAAGTTCTGGTCTACAGAAACAGCATAGCTGAAGAAGTTCTGTGAAGTCTCCCATAAGGCCCCTTGTAGCAGATTTGGATCAGGTTATGAAAGGAATAACTGCTACATGAGGTAGTTGCTGGTGATAGCAGGGAGTGAGACCAATTGACCAGTGTGACACCTTCCAGTTTCATGTCCCCAGGATAGTCACACTCACGCCAGCAGCAAGCACTTGAGTGTCCCATTGAGGTCGACGGCTTTCAGCAGCCCTGAGGGCTTCACTGGAGCCTCTCACGTGCTTGATGCTGCACACGTGCTCCAGCACTTCTCTATCA